GAAAAGGCTCACATAGCAAACATCTTTCTCAGCTTACTTCCAAAGATGGTGGTAACGATTGGAGTGGCACTCATACTCCGGACCAGGACTAAGCAGCAGACACCACGGCAGCACACCCACCGACTACGGTCGGGGCCTTGACCTGAGGAACCCTAAATAAGGAACGGGGCCCCTATTTTCCATGAGTGAAAATTCGATGTCACGTCGAAAACCTGAGGCGAACCTAAGGCAAGCTGCGAAACGCTTGAGGAACGCGGAGCCCCTCCCCAACGAAAAGGGTTCCTCCTTCAGGGCCCCGACTGTATAGTACACCCACCGACCAGCAGACCCACCGACAAAACGACAGACCGGCACACCCGCCGACCAACGACAGCAGGCCACAGCACACCGACCAGCAGACCACCAACCACTGACCAGCAGACCCACTGACCGCCGACTCCAACTCCTCCTCCTCCTCCTCCTCCCTCCTCCCTCCCTCCCTCCTCCCTCCTCCCTCCTCCCTCCTCCTCCTCCTCCTCCTCCTTCCTCCTCCTCCTCCTCCCTTCCCTTCCTCCTCCTCCTCCTCCTCCTCCTCCTCCTCCTCCTCCTCTTCCTCCTCCTCCTCCTCCTCCTCCTCCTCCTCTTGCCGGCGAGATTGCAGAGCGGCGTTATGGCGTGTACCGCCTCCCTCCAGCGCATGGCGCCCCATGCATTAATTCACCTGCGGTGCCGCCTTCGCCGTCACGGGCTGCAGGCGACTTCCATGATGACAGCGGCACTGCCGCTTACGACATGCACGACACCAAAGCACCGACCATGGCGCCACCGCGGGCCGCCGTTTCGGTCCCATTACGGCGCCCACTGGCACCGACCAGCAGACCACCAACCAGCAGGCTACAGACATCTGACCAGCAAAGCAGCGACCAGCAGACCAGAGAACCCAGCGACGACTTAGGAAAAAACACCGATGCCCGCATCAAAACCACCATCGGCGCCTGCATCCACGACACTACCAGCACCAACATCGGCGCCAGCACCTACACAAGCAAAGACACCCGCACCAGCCTTCACGACAGCGCCGAAGCCAGAATTCCTACGCGGCCAACGACGGACAGCACGACTCCGACGGGTCCGATTCGCCGACCACCCAGGCGAAGTCATCCCAGACGCTCCCACCGACGTCATGGTCGATGCCCTCCCTGACCCCGTACCCGACGACGCAGCCCGCGATCCACTCACGCCAGCAGACTACCGCAAAGCAGACCCACGACCAGCGGACTACCGAGCAGCACACAAGCAACACGGCAGCCACCTCAACAGCCACTACGATTGGCCACCACGACAGACACAAAGACGGCCACCACGACGGCCACCAAGCACCACGATAGCCACTGCGGTAACCACTAAGCGCCACGACAACCACCACGACAGCCACCAACCACCACGATAGCTACTACAGACACGCACAATACGGCGACCACCACAACAGCCACGACAACACCTCCTACGTTCAAGCACACCACGGCTGCTACTACGACGGCCACGACAGCTACGACAGCGCCTCTCACGTGCAAGCACGCCGAGGGGGACACCACGACAGCCACAACGACCACGGCAACGACTCTTACGTGCAAATACACCGCGGCGGCCACCATGGAAACCACGACAACAACAGCGACTTCTTCGAGGACGCACGTCACGGCGGCTACCACAACAGCCACGACAGGCACAACAGCGACATGTACGAGGTAGCACCGCCGACTCTGGTAGCACCGCTGGCTCCAGCATCAGCGCCGATGGCTCCAGCAGCTCCGCTGACCTCAGCGACGCCGACTCTAGCAGCACCACTAACCGCAGCAAGACCATCGAGCCCAGCAGCACAACAGACTAAAGCAGCACCACTGGCTCCAGCAGAAGCGCCGCCCACCCCAACAGCAGCAGCGCCAGCGACTCCAGTTGCGCCACCGACTCCAGCAGCAGCAGGAGTATCCAACAGAAACACTGCCTTCAGCGGCGCCATCGAAACCAACACCAAAGACTCTGGCATCAGAGCTGCCGACTCCAGCACTGCCGCCTCCAGCAGCACCACCGACCCTAGCACCGCCCACTCCAGCAGCAGCGCTGCCGACTACGGAGCTCATCAGAACCAACGACTCCAGCAGCACCACTGTCCACGGCGGCAGCGCCGCCGACTCCAGCGCCACCGACTCCGGCGGCGCCGCCGACCCCACCAACACCACCCACTCCAGCATTACCACCGACTCCGAAAGAAGCGCCACCGACCACAGCTGCACCACCGACCCCAGCAGCACCACCGACTCCGGCAGCACAACTGACTCCGGCATCAGCGGCACCGGCTCCAGCAGCACCACCGACTTCAACAACACCACCGAGCCCAGCAACGCCAAAGACTCAAGCATCACCACCAACTCCGGCAGAAGCGCTGCCGACCCCAACAGCAGCAACGCCACCGGCTCCAGCAGCAGCACCACCGACTCCAGCAGGACACCAACCACCGACG